TATACTTCTGCAGTTATAATAATGTAGATGTCCCCGTTGCGGGCTGCTACAGAGGTAATACACTACCTGATGTGGCAGAAGGCCAGAGTCCAGCCTTGCTCTAGCAGAAGCCTTTTCTCTGGGCAGAACTCCATGTTGAGATCTCTGCCATAAGCTCCGTAGACATGGACGAGTAGAGGAGCCTGTCTCAAACCCCCCACAGGTCCTGAGTGAAACAGGGTCACTGGCACCAAGGTACCATCCTACAGGCAGGGAGACATTTCAAAATGTTAAATGATCTTGAAACAGCTCTTGATAATTTGTTTTGCATATATCAGATCTGCACTTCTAGGTCTTAGCTCTGTGTGTGTGCATGACAGTGTTCTACTGGTGGCTGGTTGCCAAAAGAGCTTTAACAGTAGACACTTGAGTCTTAGCACGGAGATGATGAGCCTCCCCACAGCCGATACTGTTTCAGTGTGAGTGCATGCGTCTTATGTGTCAAGTGTTCTCACTTGGTTGCAGGCCTCTAAGCGGGTGGTGGTAATTCTGCCCTGGGCCCCTGGGGAGAAACCATCTTTGGAGCCTGATAAAAGTAGCCCATCTTCAGGGGACAGACTGTACGGCATTGGGGTGTGGACTGGAGATGAAATCAAGAACTCCAACACACTGCCTCGGTCTGCCATGCCTGGTTTCTTCGTTTGGATGGTACAGGCCCAGGAGGGGAGCTAGGGAGAGATTAATGTACACAATCAATATGAATACAAGTGGCCAACTGTATATTTTTTGTATTGTGTATATGTTGATGTGTGAAAGATATCCTTTTACATTTAAAGCATCTTAACAAGCAATTTGGTAAAGGATAACGTTTTATGAATAATAGCAAGCATGCCAGCAAGTTAGTATAATGTCAAAACCTGCAAAGAAAGAAAAAATATATTATAATCTAGTTTTCCGGTCACACTGACCTGTACAGTGTATGCCTCCTTGGGATTGGTCAGCGAGACTACGATAAGAACGAGTCCACCGGCTGCTGTTCTAGCCACCAACACACAGTGGTCTCCGATCACGTCCATGTCTTTGATAACAGTGCCGGAGTCAGGGGTAAACAAAGGCACCCAGGAGGCCATGGAGGGCTTTGAGAGAGGGGACTGCAACACCTAGGAAACATAAAATCCAAATGTATTTTTCTGTGATTTACCACATTTACCATTAAGGATTATACACATTGACTTACAGCAAAAACATAAAAGCCCTTAAAAACAACTTAATAGGTATCCAAACCAAAATGTCTAAACACTTGAAGCCTTAGTTATCACTTCTCGATTGATACTTTATACTTTAACACGAAAATAAAGCACTTGTAGGAACCCTGAAGGGGGCCAAAGTATAAAAACCTTTTAAATCATTTTAGCTTCTGAAACAATTCTTCTACATATTGATGAAATGTATTCCAGTGTGTGTTTGTAAGAGTATTGTACAAACGCTACCTGATATTCTTGCCCAGGCCCTGTGTTAGCCAGTATAACCAGAGACTCTCTCCAGTGCTCCACATGGTACAGGAGGTCCGGCTGCCGTGGCTGAACCAGGAAAGGCTCTAGATGGGAAGTCGTTCCATCAATTAGCAGAACCTCTGAGCTGCTCCTGCTGTTGCCGTTGATGCTCAGTATCTGTCGGTCTCTGGAAAGAACAACCTCCACAAACACACTGTGGAGAGGTCCATGTATGAATTAGAGACGGTGTGGGAGCAGACACAGCTTAGATGTGACCTTATGGTGCGTTCCAGTTGTACTGGGAAGAGGGAATATCTAAGTTCCCAGTCGGACATTTGAACTTGAACGCCCCTTGAGGTCAGATTGGTGCCTACTTGGAAACTCGGAGATACCTCGCCATACCAGAGGTCATCCAAGATCAGCGGTCTAAATGGAGTCTCTGCATATGAACATCAAGAGAACACTTTGATAATATAAGATTTGTAGCTCTTCTGTATTATTTGTGTCATCAACTGTACATATGGTTCGGATCATCTTCTATCGGTGGATATGTTGCTAGGATCTTTATATCTTTAAATACAAAATAAAGCTTAGGTGATTGTTAAAGCTGTAAACAAGGCGAACAACTTTCCTGCTGGCCCCTCTTTCCGACTTGTGCTACTGAAACGCTGTCAACTCCAATGTGACGTCACTCCCAGTTCGGACCCCTGACTTCCAATGTAATGTTAGTTCTACTTACTCAGGATGTGTTTCCTCAAACACAGAAGTGATCCTGCTTTCTTTGGAGGTCAGGTCCAATCGAAACACTTTACTGCAGCGCAGAGCCTCCAGAGTTGTGTAGAACAGGACATCGTCTGTGGCCCACTCTTTACTCATGTAGACAAATAAAACATTATATATTAGCCAGTACACTTATACTTCTAATATATTTCTCCAAGGTCAAACTATTCAAAACGTACCAAAGCTGAAGACTTTGTCCAGTGTGAGTACAATGTGTTGGGGATCAGGAGGAGGAGGAGAGTTTCTCTTTCGAAGCCTCACCACCACACACCTGGACGTCACAGCACAATCATCCATTTATTCTTTCAGTAAGTTTAACATTTTACATTCTGATAATAAAAAACCCATTACTGCCAAATAAAAGAACATTCTGCATGTTTATTTGAATCTTTTCACCTAGGCTCTTCTGTGTCAGTAGTTTTTAGTGTGGCAGCAAGATGCTTCTCCTGAGGGGACAGACGTATTCTCTGGACAATCCACTGAATCCTTTCTTCATTAATAAGACCTGTCTTCTCCTCCTGCCTAGAGACTTGTCCCAGATGTAGCACCTGCTCTGGTTCTGGGTCACCTACAAACAGGGCGAGGAAACTGAGTCATTCACAGAAGAGGGATTCCTTACAAAGGAATGCTAATAAATTGCAGGTGCAGTGAATAGGGTTTTATTAATAAAAGGAACTGCAGGTAATATTTTAGTTTTTGGTTGATTTCAGTCCTCTTTATAACATTTCCCATTCAAGTGTCTATGAGTTACTTTAGTCTTCAGAATGCAATATGATTACAGGTCTCTGATGTCAAGCTTCTGGCTTTACAACTTCACATTTTCTGCTTACTTTGTCTTTGGTCCACTCTGTAGATCCCATCCCTCTCAATGAAATACACATGGTTATGGCCACAGACCTGTGTCAATGCAAATCACAGTGAATTGTAAAAAAAATAATTAGAATTTCACAAATGCCTCAACAGCGAATGAGAATAATATGATTCTGTGGATCCTACTAATCCCACACAGGATTTATACTGTTTCTGGGAACACAAAGTGAATGCTGCTGTGATTAACACTGAGATTATATTCAAATAGCTTCAAATCCCAAGGCAAAGTGCAGCCCTTACCAATGAGTGATCAGGTATGTTGGAGAACCTGTGGTATGCTGCCTTCAGTCTCCTGTTGAAATACTTCTGTAAGTCCTTGTACCTCTCGAGTCCAGAGCTGTGATGATGATCTGATGAGTTTGAACTGTCCTAAAAATAAAACAACTTGTGGGTGTTAGTGATATGTGAAACATGTTAAAGTTCTTTGGGCTTTCTTTCTAATGTGTTCATGTTTCCATTTCCCTGAAGCTCATTTCCGTGTGAGTGCAGTGATCCCCATCCACAGGGCTCAGTTTCAGCCTGCGCTCTGTACAATACCTATTTTGTTAGCCTGGTGAAAAGACACCATTACTTTTGAATAATTAATGACTTCACGTTATCTACAGGATAGCTTTAACAGACAGTCATCTCCAGTTCTGGTACTTTACTGGAGCACATCCATTTGGTGCTACTACTTTACACTTCTACTACAGCACATCTCAGAGGTAAATATTGTACTTTTTTTTTGTCTACACACATTCACATGAGAGCAATAGTTAATTAATTGTATTTATACACCTTTCTTGCCAGTTTCTAAATTATGATGACACACATTATTATATAAAGTAAATTAGCTACACTTCTTCAATAACTGTAACACTGAAGAGATGAACACATTAGCATGTAATAGTAATTATGAAATTGTAATTACTATCAAATGGGTCAAATTTTATATTTTAAGTATTTTATATTAATGCTTTTGTATGTTTACACAAGCATACAATACTTTTATTTGTAACTAGTAATGAGTATTTCTCACAGATGCAGGTATTTAGGTATAAGATTTGAGTAATTCTTCCATCACACTGGTAATCTTAACACCAACCCGAAACAAAAACAACATTTTAACCATAACTAGCGTTTCTTATTTAAAGCTTTTATCCTTGATTAAGTGTGTGCTTTTGTGTCTGTTGCATGTTAATAGTTGTTTTAAAAGGCTTTTAAATATGCATATGTGCTGTCATTGTGCTCGTGTGTTTTCCTGTGTCTATGTGCTCTCAATAAATACATATAAATACCCAAACGAATTACCCTTACCGATGTGTAACAGCGTTGGACGGACAAGAAGAGCCATGTTCTCCTTTTGCAAGGAGAGAAATCCCATAATCGTAACCGAAATGGTGAAATGAAACGAGCAGGTGAACACAGCAAAGAAGAGAGGACAGCCATTACGAATAAATAAGGTTAAATTATCTTAGTTTACACATGAAAGCTGTGGTTTTATGGGTCAAAGTAGCTTAATATCACTGCCTGGTAAATGTATGTCAGTCATGACGACAGTAAAACACACTTCGCATGACAAATAAGCGTTGTATTTCCACCTGAATAATGTATTGTTTCGATAAATAAATGAAACGTCCTCTGTTGACAGCAGAAAGCAAATTCTATACACGTGCCTGATTTCCTAAACAAAGCCCGCTTTGGATGACGTAGCGAGCAACGCTAGGCTGAAGTAATCAAATTGAGATAATCCCCTTGCAGTTTAGAACTGACAATTCAGCACGATTCTATCGATAGTCTATTGCCATGTCTCGAATGCCAAAAGTGTACGGAAGTAGCATGTATCCATTGTGGGTGTAACAGGTGATTACAGCCGGGCATATCTGCGAGCAGTTGTGCGTTGGTGTAGTTACCATAAAAAAGCCTTATTTTTTGTATAACCTTATATATATACCGGTAACTGTGACAGCCCTACAGTTATTACATTTGTTTGCAGATTTATTTACGCCCAGCGGTTGGATAAAATGGAGAGGGACTGCATCGACACTGCAGAAAAAACCAAGCCGGCGTCGCCTTTGAGGAAAAATATTAATGAAGAAGCAGCTAATTCACCGATCTGTGGTGCTACTGATGTGGCGAAGGCCAGGTGGACTCTGCTGAGACAGGTAGGCTATTGTTAGCTTCAAAACAAAACAAAGCAGAATCAGAATTCCTTTATTATTCCAACCGTGGGGACATGCACAGTGTTACAGCAAAAAGTGGCATAGGAGGTTAAAAAAAGGCATGCCATAATAAAGAATAAGCCAACTTATTAAATATAGAGAAAAAAGCACACATTAGTAATAATACAATCAACATAAAGAAACATAGTACACATCCCTGGCTAACAATGAGGAGCATCAATTGGAAGAACTGAGTGACATATTAGGTGCTGAGGTATTATAAACATGTTGGGACATTTATAACATTATATGTGTTTCTATATCTATAAAGGTGATTATTGCACAGTATTGCAAGATTGTGTCTTTATTGCACAGAGCCTACAATTTGTTCAACATCTTTAAATATTTGTTCTACGTTTGAATAATGATGGGAACACACTGAAGCAACCAGTGTTTCGCCTTCTCATGTTGCCCCTCTTTTTTATTAGCTACAAAGCCATTGTTTCCTACAATTACTATTGCAATGTGTAGTTCAATTAGCATATTTGTATAGCCTAAGCTTTGTGAAATGTGGACAAGGGCATAGCTTATGCACTGCAATATACCTGTTTCAGTCTGTTACGGTATTGATTCATTGGTACTATGATCTGCTATGACATTGGACACAACTTGACGCTTAACCTTACTGTAACTTTATCATCAAGTAATGTAATAACAACATATTCCAGTTACTTTGTCACCAGTAAGAGTTTCCCTCTCTTCTCTCACAGGGGAGCTGTTAAAGTAGAGTTTATAAGTTTCTGCCATAGATGGGCATTATACAGACGTTGCACTCTGCTGCCAAGAAAAGCTCCCTGTAATGGGGCCACCTTGCATTCTGCATTTCTTCCTCCTGGCGCAGTAATGACTCCAATATGGACTCCACCAAAAATGCATAGATAGATAGACACTGTAAATAGGACTTATGTAATGTAATGAATACGTTCAGGATGAAAATATGTACAATCATGCTGATCTCATCTTGTCTCTCAAAAGCTTTGGACAAGGTTCAACACTGGCTGACCAACATTTGCTTACAGTTAAATGCAAACAAAACAGTATGCATGATGTTCAGTAAACGACCAGTCAACATCGAAGGATCCAATGTGTTTTTAAACGGAGCAGAAATAGAGCTAGTCTCCCACTTCAAGTATCTTGGAGTCATACTGGACTCGAACTTGACTTTTAAGAAACATATTAAGAAAGTATCCAATACTATTAAATTCAACTTGCAAAAATGTTAAACAAATTAGACCTTTCTTAACTGTCAATGCTGCAAAGTCATACCTCCACTGTATGATTCTATCCCACATTGAGTACTGTTTTACAAACTGGTCGTTTGCTTGTACCACAAACCTGAAACCAATAGAACAGCTGTACACGAGAGCTATCAAGGTGTTGGACAGAAAGCCACATCCATACCACCACTGTACCATCCTTGAGAAACACAATTTCTTGAGGACTGCCAAGGCACAC